AACTAAATTCGCCATCAATGACCGCCACAATGAGCTATATAAAGAGTATCTTAAAAAGGGAGAACTCGAACATTTAGCCACAGGAAAAGGAGTCGAGCACAGCTTGTTTACTAAAATTTTGGCTCAAGTTTGGCTTGAATTTAACTTGAGCTCAACTCATTAATGTGCTCACGAGTTTGATCTACTCGAGCCTATTTCATTTATGATTCTAAATAGTTGAACTCCTAATTTAAACTTTAAAATAACTTTACAAATTAGATACCCTAATAATTGAAAAAGGAATAATAGTAAACTTTTCCTCTCACACTTATATACTCGGTTGATATAATAATTTAGCTCATAAATATAACTAGCTAAATATAATTTTATTTAATAGAAATTAGTAAGCAACCTATAATAATCAACTTTCCATATAAATTAAAAATGAGCCATATCTGGTCATATACTCAAAGTCTTTAACCAACCAATGTTGTGAATATATAATCCAACAAACAAATGAACTATCAACAAGGTAACTCATAAGTTGTAGATCATTCAGTAATAAGTCGCTAGTCTAGGTGGCTCGCTAGCTCCACCGTCGATCCATCTCGTAAGTTCTAAACGAGCTAGCTCATGAGTTGAGCTCAATTAGCCACCGAGTGGAACTGACCTGCAAATCTCATGAGCTTAACAATGCTTAGCTCAAATTCATCTCGTTAGTAAACAAACCGAGTTTCGAACAAATTGAGCATCGAATCGCTAGTGAGCCGTTTGGCTCATTTCCGACCCTATCACCAAGTGATGTTGCAAGTGATGTGGGGACTTGTAGTACCGGAGCTTGTCAAGCCGGGCCGGCAGCGTAGCTGCCATTGATATTACAGTAGAACCATTACTCATCCATTCATGAATGTTTCACTGTACCATTATTGATCCGCCACCAAACGGATAACAGAGCATTCATTGTGTGCCCGGAAACAAAGCTCTTGTAACATTTCTATCAACGATTCAACGTCGATTGCAACCAGCTTCATTAATTAACTAGTGCCAATCTACACTCATTGTCAAACTAAGCTGACTACAAAAATTTCCAGGAAACAACGGGGTCGGATACTATGCTAACCCCTAAAGGGGTAGTGATTTTCGACACCCTCCTTTTGATTGGTTAGTTTTATTTCCAATCATTGGCAAGTATTAATTAAACTTGTTTTTTATTTTTTTTAATCTTGTAATTTTGGTTCTCTCACCCACATTGGAAAGGGAAAGAACTTGGGGAACCAGGAAAAAGCACCCCCCAAATGTGCAATTAATTGCCATTTTTTGTCTTTCTTTCGTCTCCTTTTCTCTCCATTTGGAACCCCTTTTCCATTTTGATTTCATTTTCACCAGAAGCCTCCCCCATTTTCATCTTCCTCTTCCTCCCGCCGCCGCCATCACCCCTCTCCACCCTCTTCATCCATGCCTTCCACTTGTGCCGCCTCCATCCCTACAACCGTCGTACTCCTCCGGCGTCTTCCCCCATCACCATCCTCCTATCTCCAGCCGCCGCCGTCCTGGGATCGCCTCTGACCTACCGAGTGGGTTGCTCGCCGTTGGAGGACAAGACGCAAGGTTATCGCCGGAGATCAAACAGATGAAGGTCATACCGAGAGGGAAGACGGCTCCAACATTCCGCGCGACGATTCTGGGCATGCCAAGAACGGAGAATCTTGTGCGGCATCAAATGATGGGGGTGACAACGTGATCGGACTCTCCTCCCGAACGCAGGAGGCACCAATGGAGTGGTACGTGTACCAGTGGAGTGGTACGTGTACCAGTGGAGTGATACTAGTAACCATATGTTCTGTTTAGGCTTAAAAAAAATTGTGAACACAGTTTTTGGCTACTAATGGAAAGTTCCTATATTGAGGACAGTCTTGATTAGTACCAGTTCAGTGGTATAAGTATGAGTATTGGTATATTGAGGACAGTCTTGATTAGTACCAGTTCAGTGGTACACGTACCACTCCACTGGTACACGTACCACTCCACTGGTACATGTACCAGTCCATTGGTGCATTTTCTCTGCCGCCTACTGAAACGGTGAAATTAAAAAAGGTAACTGAAACGGTGAAATTAAAAAAGGTAAGAGGGAATGAATAATTATGAGTGGAGGAACCCACTGTTTACTTCCTTCTCTCTGCATAATTAATATGACAATTAATTCTTTCTCTATCCATATTTATTTGGGACAGCCATTAATACTTGTCTAATAATTAAGTATAAAACTGACCAATCAAAAGGAGGGTGTCAAAAATCACTACCCCTTTAGGGGTAGTCACGCTAACCAAACCCGGAAACAACAAGTTGAGGCGGAGGCTGTTGCAAAGTGAAACAGCAAGTTGGCAGTCCTGTCAAAGTTGATTCTGATTTGCGGCACAAGAGGATGTGGGGACTTGCACCATTTCTTTTCAACCCAGCGGCTCATAGCTGCATTGATATTACAGGAGAGCAAGCATTATCCTTTCCATGTATGTTTTCCTGTATCATTATTGATCTGCCACCAATCGGAGAACAGAGCATTCATTGTGTGCCGGAACAAGCTCTTGTAGCATTTCCATCAATGTTGATTAATCGTCAAATTACCTGTCGATTCCCGACGGTTGAGACTCTGAGACCCCCTTCTGCTTGCCAACCAACTTCATTGATTAATCAAAACTCGTCGTTACCTGCAACATGTAATTGTCGGAGTTATGCCTGTGTACATTCATCGTCAAAGTAAGTTGTCTATAAAGTTTCCAGGAAAAAAGTTCATTAGCCGCAGTGATCAGGAGTTCTTCCTTCCTGAGCAAGAAAGGAACTAAACAATCAGAAAACAAAATGAAAATGCCGCGAAAATCAATCATACTACTCACTACAGTCTATTATTACATCCTGCTTTTCTCCCCACTGATCAACTTCCTTGTGTCGCCAGCAAATGCTTACAGCAGCAGCAGTGCGAATGAAACCGATCGGCTTGCCTTGATCGAATTCAGAAAAGCAATAACCAGCGACCCAAATGGGTTTTTCCAGTCGTGGAACGATTCAGTCCATTTCTGCAACTGGGCGGGGATTTCCTGTGGAGGCAACCCTGCAGGATTGCAAAGAGTCAGATCTCTGGAGATTAATCAGCAAGACCTGGTAGGCACTCTGTCTCCACACATCGGAAACCTCAGCTTCCTTCAGGCTATCAGCCTGGATAACAACACCTTCAAGGGCGGGATTCCAGCGGAAATCGGAAACCTACTTAACCTCCAGGAGCTAAATATCACCAGGAATTCTCTCGATGGAGAACTTCCTGACAACATAACACAGTGCTCCGAGCTCAGGATTATCAGATTGCACTTAAATCACTTACAAGGGAGGATCCCTCTGGGGTTAGGTTCTTTATCAAAGCTCGAGGTTTTCAGGATCAACGACAATAACATGACGGGAGAGATTCCTGCTTCGGTTGGAAACCTGTCGAACCTGATAGAGTTTGCAGTGTCATTTATCAACTTGGTTGGAACAGTTCCAGAGAGCTTAGGCAACCTGCGCAGCTTGTACTCCATCTCTCTAGCCGGCAACCAACTGACCGGTCCGATTCCTCGATCCTTATTTAATAGTACGACACTCAGAATCATTGCCCTTCCTTGGAATCAATTCTCGGGTAGTTTGCCGGAGGATATAGGCTTCACTGTACCGAATCTCCAGCAGTTCGCTATTTCCAAGAACAAATTCGTGGGCCAAGTTCCCAAATCATTCTGCAATGTCACCGGGTTACAGGTGCTGGACATGAACAAGAATGGTTTCACGGGACGGATTCCCAATTGTCTCGGGAATTTGGCCAGATTCACCTGGCTATCGGTTGGAGTGAATCGTCTCGGCAGTTATTCAGCAGCGGACTTTGAGTTCTTGACTGGATTGCAGAATTGTACCCAGCTACAATTGTTGGTCATAAGTGGTAACAACTTTGGAGGTAATTTACCGGACTCCATAGCTAACCTCTCAGTCCAGCTCACTAGGCTTAGCGTTGCGCATAATCAGCTGACAGGAGAAATCCCTTCCGGCCTGGAGAAATTCATCAACTTGAACGACCTGGAACTGAATGATAACCTCTTCCGAGGCCTGATTCCCTCTTACTTCAGCAAGTTTCCGAACTTGCAAAGCTTGCACTTGGAAGGAAATCAGCTATCGGGACAAATTCCGGCCACCATCAACAACCTGACTCAGTTGTCGGTGCTCGATGTCTCGGACAACAGACTAGAAGGCGTTATTCCCTCGGGTATCAGATCGTTTGTGCATTTGAACTACCTGGACGTTTCCGGGAACACTTTTTCCGGCACTATCCCTGGCGAGGTCTTCAGTCTTCCTTCCTTGACTAAACTATTGAACCTGTCGAACAATGTGTTCACTGGCAACCTGCCTCCAGAAATTGGGAAGTTACATTCCCTAATCGCTTTGGATGTTTCTCATAATTTGCTGACGGGGCCAATTCCAAACAGCATCGGGGATTGCAAGAGCTTGGAGTATCTGTACTTGCAAGGGAATTCCTTCAATAGGTCAATCCCTCCATCTTTAGCTTCATTGAAAAGCCTTGAAGTGCTGGATCTTTCCCTCAACAATTTAAGAGGAGAGATTCCGCTCGATCTCCAGAACATTAGCGCTCTCCAGTATCTGAATCTTTCCTTCAATCACCTAGAAGGCCAGGTGCCAAGGGAAGGTATCTTTTCAAATGCAAGCAACGTATCATTAGTGGGAAATACTATGCTTTGCGGAGGTGTGTTGGATTTCCATCTCCCGAAATGCCCAACTTATAAAGTTGTCCAGCGCCATGGTATTAATTCTCAGAGAATGAGAATCTCACTGACAGTTATTTCTGTTTTAGTGGGTCTTGTCTCAATGCTAAGCCTTCTACTGATCTTGAAGGCGAGAATGTGGAAGAAGAAGCTGTCGTTTGAATATCCAATATTGCCCACCTTTATGAGGGTCTCTTACAGAGACCTGAGCAGAGCAACTGACGGATTCTCTTCCGATTGTTTAATTGGGTCTGGCAGCTTTGGCGTCGTCTACAAAGGTAAACTAAATGAAACCGACCCACCAGTAGCTATCAAAGTGCTGAATCTAGAGCAAAGGAAGGCTTACAAGAGCTTGGCGGCGGAATGCAATGCACTGAGAAGCATTAGGCATCGGAATCTCGTCAGGGTTGTGTCCTTCTGCTCCAGCTTGGACAACAACGGCAGCGAATTCAGAGCTCTGGTATTCGAGTACATGCCGAATGGGAACTTGGAGAAGTGGTTGCACCCCATGGATGGTTCACTGAGTTTAAGCCTCATTCAAAGACTAAACATCGCGATAGACGTAGCATCCGCGCTACACTATCTTCATGACCTATGTGAAACCTCGATAGTTCATTGTGACTTGAAACCAAGCAATGTGCTGCTCGATGAATCCATGGTTGCTCATTTGTGTGATTTTGGCATTGCAAGGATACTTTCCGCCGAGGACACATCCTACTTATCTAGCACCATTGGCATCAAAGGAACAATTGGGTATACCCCTCCAGGTTAGCATAAACCCTAAACATGATTTTCCATCTTCAAAGAGCACGGTTACTGTGATACTTACTGTATGTGGTTACTATGGCAGAGTATGGAATGGGCAGCGTAGCTTCGAAAGAAGGCGATGTCTACAGCTTCGGTATCCTACTACTGGAAATGTTCTCTGGGAAAAGACCTACTGACCAAATGTTCGGAGAAGGCCAGAATCTCAGAGTATTTGTGAGGGCGGGGCTGCCAGATCTGATATCCGTCGTATTGGATCCGCTGCTTTTACCCGGTGGTGGAGACGGAATTGAACCCACGGAGGGAGAAGGCAGCGGCAGCGGCAGCAGCAGCAATGAGATCACCGAAGCAGCCGCAGTGCGGCAAAGAGACAGTAGCTTGACAGACGAGAGGCTCATGAGGTCGAGTCAATACCGCAATTGCATGATTTCAGCGGTGGAAATCGGAATAGCTTGCTCGATGGAGTCGCCGGCGGAGCGGATGAAGACGGCGGAAGTTTCCCTGAAGCTGCAATCCATCAGAGAAGTTTTTCTGGCGAGCACCGTCCGTCGATCGAGAGCAAGGCCAGCTCTGGATCCAGCGTAAACAGGGAAGCTCCCGCCTGCTCGCTTCTTGTATGTACAAGGTCAAGGACGATTCTTCATTCCAAAAATCATACTCTTCTAATCGGCCGGTCTCGATGGCTTTATATAAAACCGATTGGCGGCAGTTCTGAATATCACCGTCTCTCAGCAACCCGATTGCGACGCATTCCTGCTCTTCCCGCCGAAAGAAGCGAAGGGTCACCGGAATCAAATGACTGAAAGGGTGGAGTCGACGTTGAATCAGGTTAACTGGGAATTCCACTCAGGTTTCAGAATCAGGTTCGGGGCAGCTCAGATTGCAGGCCGATTAACTCACGGGCCAAAAAGACGACCTCGAACACGTCATCGGCAAGTTCCCTGTGCTGTTTTTTTTATCACATCGGCGACCGATTGTCGGGGATCATGGCGGCGACTTTGGAACAGATTCCTTATCACCCTGGCGGCTAAAGCTGCATTGACTTTATTAAGGGTTAATAGCTGCATTGACTTTCTTTAAGAGCTGCATTGACTAAATATAATTCTCTTTTTTACACATTATTGAAGAATATACAGCAACGTCACAACAAAAAGAAATGACATAGGAGAAACATTATTAATCTGCCACTGGCTGTCCGACCACCTGAATATATACCTGAACACCGTAGAAAACTTCATCAGCCTTTGTGATCACAAACGGAAAGTGAACCTGCTTTCCACTTTCTATGTGAGCCAAGAAAAAGTCGTAAAGAACAATGTCGAGTAATGCTATCCTACTCCTACTTCTCGCCACAATCTACTATTCCTTCTTCCTTTTCTCCCCGTCAATCGACTTCCTGTTGCCTGCCAATGCTGCTAGTACAAACGAAACTGACCGACTTGCGCTACTTGAATTCAGAAAAGCCGTAACCAGCGACCCGAATGGAGTTTTGCAGTCATGGAATGATTCAGTCCATTTCTGCAACTGGGTCGGCGTTTTCTGCAACGACAAGCAACGAGTCACATCTCTAGCCATGTCTCAGCAGGACCTGGTGGGCACTCTGTCTCCACACATTGGCAACCTCACCTTCCTTCAGGCTATCAGCCTGGATAAGAACAGTTTCCAGGGTGAGATCCCGGCGGAAATTGGCAACCTGCTTCACCTCCAGCACCTAAATATCAGCAGGAATTTCCTCACCGGAGAAATTCCTGACAACCTGACCCGGTGCTCCGAGCTCAGGATCATTCAACTGCAGATCAATCACTTACAGGGGAGGATTCCTTGGGAGATTGGGTCACTGTCCAAGCTTGTGTCCATAAGGATTCAGCAGAATAATTTGACCGGGGAAATTCCGCCTTCGGTTGGAAACCTGTCGAACCTGATCGACTTCGGAGCTTCTTTTCTCAACTTGGTGGGAACAATTCCGGAGAGTTTAGGCAACCTGCGCAGCTTGCAAAACATCTCTCTCGCCAATAACCAACTGACCGGTGCGATTCCTCGATCCTTCTTCAATAGTACTTCAGTTGGAATCATCGCCATTCCTTGGAATCATTTCACAGGTAGTTTGCCGGAGGATATAGGCTTCACGCTACCGAATATCAGGAAGTTCGCTATTTCCAAGAACGAGTTTGTGGGGTCCATCCCAGAATCGTTCTGCAATGTCACGGGGCTAGAGATGTTGGACATGAACAAGAATGGTTTCACGGGACGGATTCCCAATTGTCTCGGGAATTTGCCCAGATTCAACTGGCTATCGGTGGGAGACAATCGTCTCGGCAATTATTCGTCAGCGGACTTGGAGTTCTTGACTGGGTTGCAGAACTGTACCCAACTGCAATGGTTTGTCATAAGTATTAACAACTTTGGCGGCTCTTTACCTAGCTCCATAGCTAACCTTTCAGCCCAGCTCACTACAATTGCCCTTTCGCAGAATCAGTTCACAGGACAGATCCCTTCAGACTTGGAGAAATTCGTCAACTTGAATTACCTCGATCTGTCTTATAACTTCTTTCGAGGTATCATTCCCTCTTCCTTCGACAAGTTGCTGAATTTGGAAAGCTTGCTCTTGTTAGTAAATCAGCTATCGGGACCAATTCCAATCACCATTGGAAACCTGACTCAATTGTCAGTGCTCGATGTCTCAAACAACAGACTAGAAGGCATTCTTCCCTCGGGTATCAAATCTTGTGTGCAATTGAACTATTTGGACGTTTCCTGGAATTCTCTTGTCGGCATTATCCCTAGTGAAGTCTTCACTCTTCCTTCCTTGACTAAACTATTGAACCTGTCGAGCAACATGTTCATCGGCAACCTGCCTCCAGAAATCGGGAAGCTAGAATCCCTGAACACCTTGGATGTTTCTCATAATCTCCTGATGGGGCCGATTCCGAACACCATCGGGAGTTGCAAGAATTTGGAGTATCTCTGCTTGCAAGGGAATTCCTTCAATGGTTCCATCCCTCCTTCTTTAGCTTCCTTGAAAGGACTCCAACATCTGGATCTTTCGCTCAACAAATTACAAAGCGAGATTCCACAGGATCTTCAGAACATTAAAGTTCTCCAGTATCTAAATCTTTCCTTCAATCACCTTGAAGGCCAAGTGCCAAAAGAAGGCATCTTTTCCAATGCAAGCGGGCTATCCCTAGCAGGAAATGGTATGCTCTGTGGTGGTGTAGTGGATCTACATCTCCCAACATGCCAAACCAGTAAGGGTATTGAACATCATGGTACCAAATCGCGTAGAATTGCCTTGATATTTATTGTTCCTTTTGTGGGTCTATCATTCCTTTCATTGTTAGCATATCTATTGATCTTCAAGACGAGAAGGTCGAAGAAGCCGGCTGAAGAATATCCAATATTACCTAGTTTTATCAGGGTGTCTTACAGAGACCTCTACACAGCAACTGATGGGTTCTCGCCAAGTTGTTTAGTTGGGTCCGGCAGCTTTGGCGATGTCTACAAAGGTCAGCTAAATGACACAGAGGCACCAGTAGCTATCAAAGTTCTGAAGCTAGAAAAAAGGAAGGCTTACAAGAGCTTGGCCGCAGAATGCAATGCACTGAGGAGCATTAGGCACCGGAATCTCGTCAAGGTTCTATCCTTCTGTTCCAGTCTGGACAACGATGGCGATGAATTCAGAGCTCTGGTCTTTGAGTACATGCCCAATGGGAACTTGGAGAACTGGTTGCACGCCACTGATGGTCCCCGGAATCTAACTCTGGTTCAAAGGCTCAATATTGCGATAGATGTAGCATCCGCGCTACACTATCTTCATGACCTCTGCGAAACTCCAATCGTTCATTGTGATTTGAAACCAAGCAATGTGCTTCTCGATGAATCCATGGCTGCTCATCTGAGTGATTTCGGCATAGCAAGGATCCTTTCGGTCGAGGAAGATACCGCCTTATCTAGCACAATTGGCATCAAAGGAACGATCGGTTACACTCCACCAGGTTATAACATAAACCCTAAACACGATTTTCCATCTTCGTAGATCTAATCGTTTGTGAAATCAAATGCACTTACAATTACTGTGTTATATGGCAGAGTATGGGATGGGCAGCTTAGTGGCAAAAGAAGGCGATGTCTTCAGCTTCGGAATCCTCCTCCTGGAACTGTTTTCCGGCAAAAGACCCACCGACCAAATGTTCGGAGACGGCCGGAATCTACGAGATTTTGTGTGTGCAGCGCTTCCGGATACGATATCTGTGGTATTGGACCCGATGCTCTTCTCCGGTGGAGACATAATTGACTCGGCGGCGGAAAACGGCAGCGGCAATGAGATCACCGAATCAGTCATTCTCCACCACGGAGCGAGTAACTTGAGGGAGGAGAGACTCACGAGGTCGAGCCCATACCGTAATTGCATGATTTCGGTGGCTGAAATCGGAATAGCTTGCTCACGAGAGTCGTCGGCGGAGCGGATGAAGACGGCGGACATTTCACAGAAGCTGCATTCCATCAGGGATGCTTTTCTGGCCAGCACCGCCCCTCGTCCACCCAGAGAATCCCCAGGCCGGGCTTGATCCAGGAATCCGCCCAGATGGGCCAACTAGATATGGGCTTTACTTTTACTTATGCAATTGTACCAGTCAAATGGGCCTCACAAAAGAATAAGGAAAAGGGAAAAAAGAGTTCCTGGTATTGTATTAACGGTACTAATTCAGAAAACTTGAAACCAGTCCGTTCGCTGAAAGGGTTCGTCTTCTTCCTTCGTTGCCCGTCGTTCTCAAAGTCCACCTTCTCTTCCTTTCCTTGTTTGTCCTTGCGCGCCAACTCGCAGGAACTGAGGGGTTTAAGCTCGCTGCTAAACCCTACTTTCCGCCACCGTCCTTCCTCCTCTTCGAAATCCCCTTCCAGCGCGGAACAATGAGCTTCGCGGCCTGCAAGATGATGCACTTGCCGACCGGCATTGAATGCTGCGACGCCGGCTTCATCACGCATTGCCGCGCCGACTTCGTCCCTCCAATTGCTCCAATGCATACCGACGAACTCGAATCCGAGTGGCCTTCCAATCGAAGCACTGGCCCAATCCCTAACCTCGTCGTCACTGCGGGCAACGTCCTGGAGCTCTATGTAGTTAGGGTTCAGCAGGAAGGCAGCAGGGAGTCGAGAAATTCAGGCGAATCGAAGCGCGGTGGGCTGGTCGATGGCGTCTCTGGCGCTTCGCTTGAGCTTGTGTGCCACTACAGGTGCTGTAGCTATAGATTTATTGCCGCAGTGTTTTTTTCTCTCTCTCTTGGTTATGGTGAATTCAAGTATCCGTTTCTGTTATAGGTTGCACGGTAATGTTGAATCATTGGCGGTACTGCCTTCAGATGGAGGCGATAGTTCCAGGAGGAGGGATGCAATTATCTTGGCGTTCAAAGATGCCAAGATTTCGGTGCTGGAGTTTGATGATTCTATGCATGCACTGCGTACTAGGTAAAGTTTATGCTGTGAAGTGGAATATTGTAAAGCTTTTACTAATGATTATCTGAACATAACCACCTCCTTTTTGCGTCATCACTTTAATTTTGGTGTTAATTCCAACGGATGCCGATTCCTTTTCAGCTCTATGCACTGTTTTGAAGGTCCAGAATGGTGCCATCTGAAAAGAGGCCGAGAGTGTTTCGCGGCAGGGCCGTTAATAAAAGTTCATCCAAGAGGCAGATGCGGTGCTGTTCTCGTTTATGATTTGCAGATGATAATACTGACTGCTGCTCAGGTCAATATGAAATGTTCATGTAGTTAAAAAAATTATTACTGTCCAAAAAACTGCAATGTGACTTCTGATTACAATGATGCATTTTTTCTTGGGGTTTGTACCATATAGGTCGGTTCTGGTTTGATTGGAGATGATGATGCCCCTGGCTCTGGAGGTGCAATATCTGCTCGCGTCAAATCATCATACATTTTAAATCTTCGAGACTTGGATGTGAAGCATGTAAAAGACTTTGTATTTATAAATGGTGAGTCTTTCTAGCTAGCCTCGGCTTTCTGATTGTCTTGATAGAAAATGGGACAGCTAGTATATGATGATGTGTCCTTAACTTGTTGATGTTGCGTGAAAGTTTCACCTGAAGTTAGGTGCAAAAATGTAAGCCTTGCCATATATGCAAGACAAGATCTGTACTTTTCTCGTGACGTGATGACATGTAGATCCTAGTTGCTTCTTCTCTACATCATAGTTACGTAGCGAAAAAAGAATGATATGATTGTGGTTGATGACCTTCAGATAGCCTGATGATCAAAAGATGAAGAAATCTAGTGACACAAGGATGATCAAACTAAATTTGAGATTATAGTTCACATCGTTATTTTCATGTACATCTGTTGGTTGCTGCTTCTTATGTTCTTTGGTCCTGATGTTTTGTGTCTCACATGCTTCATGTGTAGATTATATGGAGCCTGCAGTGGTCATCCTTCATGAGCGCGAACTTACTTGGGCTGGTCGCCTGTCATGGAAGCATCACACTTGCATGATATCTGCTTTTAGCATTAGCACGTCACTGAAGCCTCCTACCCTGATATTTTCATCTCTGGTATGCTCTGAATAAAGTGTAACAGTTGCATGGTATCTGCTTTTAGCATTAGCACAATGCCCAACCCGTCTACCCGATATTTTCGTCCATGATATGGTCCAAATGAAGCATCAACCTTGCATGATATCTTCTTTTAAGATTAGCTCCACATTGAGGCTGCCTACCCTGATATATTCATCTGTGATATGCTCTGAAACTAATCTAGCATAAATGGAGGATAAGATTCCAGGACATGATAAATTATTTTATACAGAGTTTGGTATGTGTGTAACTTCCAATGAAATATTATCTTAAGAAGGCTTGTAAAATTTTCACTTGGATAATTAAATTAATGGGTAGCTAGGAGTAGGAAGAAATTTTTTTTATCTGTCACATGACTGCAATTTGCACTTAGGTCCGGCACTTTATGCTTTGAGCTGAAATTATTCTCATTCAAATAAGGGATGTTATGAAAGATACTGAACATTTGAGAATGGGGACAGTGCTATGGAAGGGGATTAGTTAAACCTTTGAATGAGTCATGCTATTTTCGCTGTCCAGTCTTACAATTGGCTATTGTTTTTTGTTTTTTCCCTTAGAATCTTCCGCATGATGCGTACAAGCTACTTGCCGTTCCGTTGCCAATTGGAGGTGTTCTTGTCATTTGCACAAATTCCATACATTATTACAGTCAGGTGAATTTTGCTTTCATTTGACATTAAAAAGTCATGATTGTGGAATTTTTGCTGATGTGAATTATCTTTACAGTCAGCCTCTTGCGCGTTGGCTTTGAACCATTATGCAGTTCCTATAGACAGCAGGTCTCAGATGTTCCTCCCTCCTCTCTTTCTGTTCGAACTTCCACATTTTAAATTTATGATTGAATACAAAGGCTAAGGTTTGCCTTTTCTGAGGTTTGTTTCTCTTGGTCTACTCCTTTGATTCATGTTCATACTAAACTGAGGAGCTTCATTGCTAATTTGCTTTGCCAGTCAAGAGCTACCGAGAGCAAGTTTTGATGTTGAACTTGATGCTGCCAATGCATCTTGGTTACTAAATGATGTGGCCTTACTGTCAACAAAAACTGGGGAACTTCTATTGCTAACCCTCGTTTATGATGGAAGGTAATTACTTCCACTTTCTGATAGGGTGTACGTTTCTGGATAAACTTGTTGTATGACAAGGAACAGTACAAAATGGGTTTCCTGTGAACTTAACTCTTTTGACTTCTGTCCTTGGCAAAAAAGGTTTCACATACTCTGACTATCCATGCAATCAGACTTGTCCTCTTTGACCCTGCAAAAGAAAATCAAAATGCAAAAGCTTTTGTCTAGTCGACTTATGTTACTGTTGTTTGTTTTCTTGCAGGGTTGTGCAGAGGCTTGATCTTTCAAAGTCTAAAGCATCAGTTCTTACTTCGGTGTGCTCGCCTTTCATTCATGATACTCAATTAACTTTGTGTTTTGACAGCTTTTTTCTCTACTTGTTCCTTGTTGCCAGTTGTAGTGCTATGTTTTGAGAAGTTTTCTGAAACTGTGATAGGGAATTGCCATGATTGGTAAATCATTTTTCTTTCTGGGGAGCCGTTTGGGAGACAGTTTGCTTGTGCAATTTACTAGCGGATCAGTATCTACCATTTCTCCTGGCTTGAAAGAAGAGGTAATGTTGTGTGATCAACAATTTCCAGTAGTTTCAAGATTTCGTTGTCTCTTCCTGTTTACTATTAAGTTAAGATCAGTAAGGTTGAATGCCATATGCTTCCCTGCATTTCAATAGGTTGGTGACATTGATGACATTCACGCAGCTAAGAGGTTGAAGAGAGTGTCATCTGATGCTTTACAAGATGTGATGAGTGGAGAGGAGCTTTCTTTATATGGCTCAGCTTCAAACAATACCGAGTCAGCACAGGTTATAAAAGCTTTAGTCTTTATCTTTTTATTCTTCATGAAGTCTGGATAAAGTAAGATTAAGCTACGAACTCCATTTTATGGAGAGGCTAGCTCGGTTACTGAGATTTCCCCCCTAGTTTTTCTCATTGCAACAACTTGAGAGATATATTGTCTTCTATAAGTTATGTTTTGGAGCTCTACTTATGGATTATTACTAATGCCAATTTTGGGGTTCACATTGTTTTTCTGTGTAATAATGCAGAAGACGTTCTCATTTGCAGTGAGAGATTCATTGACCAATGTTGGCCCTTTAAAGGACTTCTCCTATGGTTTAAGGATCAACGCTGATGCGAATGCCACAGGAAGTGCAAAACAGAGCAACTATGAGTTGGTTAGTACTTTTCAACCTAAAGGAAAAATTAAATCAAAGGCAAAGGATGGTTGGTTTGAACTGCATACAGCCATTAATTCAGAAATAGTTGCAATCTCATCTGTAATCCATTATGGTTTTAACATGCTTGCTAGTCATTGCATGTTTTTATTTTGTGGTTTCTTGCATTAATTTCTAAAATATCTCCCACTCTAGCAAAAACTCAGACGGACATTCTCTTGAGATGTTGCAAGAGAATTATGCTTCAAGCAGTGAGTGATTTCTCTATTGAATTTTTAATTTTAGTTTCTATTGGTGTACTTCTCTTAGGTCTCTTGTTCAGGTCATGGTAAAAATGGTGCTCTATCTGTTCTTCGGCAGTCGATTCGTCCAGAAACGATTACAGAGGTTTGAATATAAATTCTTGTCTCACGATATGGAGGAGCAAAGCTCATTACATATCTATTATTATCTTATCTTGAAGGCACTCAGATAACTTCCGATGCAGGTTGAGCTACCTGGTTGTAAAGGGATCTGGACTGTCTACCATAAGAATTCTCGTGGTCATAATGCTGATTCCTCCAAAATGGCAGCCTTCGATGATGAATATCATGCATATTTGATTATAAGTATGGAGGCGCGGACGATGGTAAGCTCTTCATCCTTGCTTCAGAGGAAACTTAAAATTTATGTTTGTCTTCTCTTTATGCATCATCAACCTCAAAGTATATTTGCTTCCATGGGTCTTGGTCTGGTATTTGGTGTTTGCCTCTGTATTTTGGTCTGCATTGGATAAATATACTCTGGACTCTAGTTTACTAAGCACACAAATCCTGATCTGAAACATAAAGTTTTGATAATGGATGGTGCTTCCATGAATGTTTATCACATTTCATGACTGATTAGCCCCCCCCCCCCCCCCCCCCCCCCCCCTGTGTAAACTCTTATTTGTGGAACATGGCTAGCTGCAGCATGCAGGCATCGTTCAGTCTCGAATTATCTATAAGCTAATACTGTGAATTGGGCTTCTGCTACTTATGGATAAGTTTAGTCGATATCAGGCAGTTTGTCTGTTTTATAGCCGTTGGTCTTTGTTTCATGATATGCAGGTTCTTGAGACTGGTGATCTTTTGACAGAGGTCACTGAAAGTGTTGACTACTTTGTCCAAGGAAGGACAATAGCTGCAGGGAATTTGTTTGGCAGGTTTGAATGTCTGATTTATTAGGTGGTTGTTGTTGTGACATTTAATGAATATTTCAGATTGTTCTTTATAATGAAATTTGTTTGGTTAATCCTGACAAGTTGATGGATGTTTCCTTTTATTTAATAATTTTGTACGATTGAGTCATATTGTTTCTCCTTTGCAGGCGTCGAGTTATCCAGGTCTATGAGCGTGGTGCGCGAATTCTGGATGGTTCCTTTATGACTCAAGATTTGAGCATTGGTGCTCCTAACTCTGAATCTGGTCCTGCCACTGAGACTTGTACTGTAATGTCTGTCTCCATTGCTGATCCATATGTACTGATAAAAATGATTGATGGGAGCATTAGACTTCTTGTTGGAGGTATGCTGTTTCATCTACAATGGTAAATTATATGACTAGTCGATTTTGTGCAGCCTTATCCCCATGATGTTATAGTGGCAGTATGGAAGTAGCTATGCATGAAAAAAATGCTGAGATAATGGGATTCGTACTAATCTGCCATGTTATGGAAAAAGTAAAACACTAATATAACTTCAGCAAGGTCATTGTTTATTGGTAACCTTCGAGTAGACTGATGGCAGGGACATCGAGTTGTGCCAATAATCTGTTTCCTGATATTGTTAATCACAAAATTTTGTGATTATCTTGTTTACTGCCTGCTCTTGTCATTTGCTCACTCTTTCGGTGTATCATAAATCTGAACATACTTCAATTGGAACTACAGATACTGCTACTTGTACTGTGTCCATGAGAACTCCACCTGCCTTTCAAAGCTCAAAGAACACAGTATCTGCATGCACCCTGTATCATGATAATGGCCCAGAGCCATGGATCAGAAAGGCAAGCACCGACGCGTGGCTTTCTACAGGAATTTCTGAGCCCATTGATGGTGCTGATGGTGGGACGCATGATCATGGCGACATATATTGCATTGTTTGCTACGAGACTGGTGCACTGGAAATATTTGATGTACCGAATTTCGCTTCTGTGTTTTATGTGGATAAATTTGTATCTGGAAAAAGCCACCTTGTTGATAGCAACGTGCAAGAACCAAGCAATGATCCTCAGGAAGCAGCACATAGTAGTTCTGGTTCCGAAGCTGCCCTCGGTGACAAAGAGAGTAACCATAACCTAAGAGTTGTGGAGTTGGCTATGAACAGATGGTCTGGGCACCACAGTCGACCTTTTCTTTTTGGTATATTGACTGATGGAACAATACTTTGTTATCATGCTTACCTGTTTGAAGGTCCAGATAGTACCTCAAAGACTGAACCTCCTTCACAAAGTTATGCTTCGAGGCTTAGAAATTTGAGATTTGCACGAACACCATTGGATACTTATATGAGAGAGGAAACATCAAGTGGAAACATCAGCCAACGGATGACTATTTTCACAAATATTAGTGGTCATCAAGGATTTTTCCTATCAGGGTCAAGACCAGCTTGGTTTATGGTGTTTAGAGAGCGTTTGCGTATTCATCCACAGGTATGACTCTAGGAAAGATGGTTCTGTTTGCTGCATGACTAATGGTGCTACTTCTTTCTGAGACAATACTTTAATTTATTTATGGACAATGGAATTGAAGACTGTTTTGTCTTTTTTGCTAGCTATGTGATGGATCTATTGTCGCCTTCACTGTTCTTCACAACGTCAACTGCAACCATGGCTTCATCTATGTCACATCTCAGGTTTTGTTTTCGCACATCTACTGGTTGACTGATGCTGTCTATTTATTTTCTTTGTATTCGGTATTCTTGAAAATAAACTCTTCTTGCTTCAATTGGGCAGGGAATATTGAAAATTTGCCAACTACCATCTGGCTGCAACTATGATAATTATTGGCCAGTGCAAAAGGTATGGTCTATTCACTTTTCTTGTGCCAACTCTATTACTTAAGTCCACGTGTTTCAAGATACGTTCATTATGTGCTCATTGAAATTCTCTCCTCGCTAGGTACCACTAAGAGGAACTCCTCATCAGGTGACTTATTTTGCAGAGAAGAACTTGTACCCTCTTATAGTTTCTGTTCCTGTAAGTATCTACTTTGTCTGTACTTTCTTGGCTCACGCTTTTATCTGTGACAACATACTCTAATTTTCTGCTAGATAACCTAATGTGATAAACTCAGTTCAAATAGCTGCTCGCTTGTTAACCAAATTTCTTGAACCCTGGTCTTTTGCGCTCCTATACGACTTATGGTGACCATGGAGCTGAAGTAAGAGCTGAAGAATAGTGATGCATCATATGTATTGACCAGAGATGTTCTGAAGTATCAATCAACCTCTGTTCTTTTTTCAGGTTCAAAAGCCCCTCAATCAAGTTCTTTCTTCACTGGTTGATCAAGAAGGCAACCACCAAATTGAGAGTCAGAACGCTACTCCCGATGAACTTCATCGAACTTACACTGTAGAAGAATATGAGGTGCGGATCCTGGAACCAGAGAAATCTGGTGGCCCTTGGCAAACGAAGGCTACAATTCCAATGCAGAGTTCAGAAAATGCACTCACCGTGCGAATGGTTACACTATTTGTAAGTTACCCGTTTGAATTCTAAATTGCTGCTACATGTTAGAGTGTAGAAGCTTTTCATGAGGTCTGTAGTGGATTGAGCTATTTTACGTCTTCATGTTCCAATTACTCGAACAAGGTTGTCTCTGACCATCTGAATTTTCAGAATACAACCACTAAGGAGAATGAAACACTTTTGGCCATTGGGACGGCATATGTACAAGGGGAGGATGTTGCTGCAAGAGGCCGTGTGCTTCTGTTTTCTCTTGGGAAGAACACAGATAACTCTCAGGTTTTGGTTCTTTTGGCCCTTTATCTTCAGATTTTCTACCTCTATAAATCCAGACGTAAAATTCTCAGTGAACCTTGACTTTCGGAAACCATAATCAATTTGATGCCTTCCTTTGACAGGTTTCTGAAGTTTATTCCAAGGAATTGAAGGGAGCAATATCCGCTTTAGCCTCACTGCAAGGGCACTTGTTAATAGCTTCCGGACCTAAGATTATTTTGCACAAATGGACTGGTACAGACTTGAATGGGGTTGCCTTTTTTGATGCTCCGCCATTATATGTCGTCAGCTTAAATATTGTAAGTGGTGGCTTGGCATGTCCTCATTCTCTCTTATTTCCATTCGTCTTTCAAGGATTACATTAGTGGAATCTGCTGCTGGGACTCTACTTTCCAGGTTGTGTTTGACACTGTATTTGTTTATGCCTATTTTAGGTCAAGAACTTTATCCTGTTGGGTGATATTCACAAAAGCATCTATTTCCTTAGTTGGAAGGAGCAAGGCGCACAACTTAGCTTACTAGCGAAGGACTTTAGTTCCCTTGATTGCTTTGCCACTGAGTTCTTAATCGATGGCAGTACGTTGAGTCTTGTGGTTTCAGATGCACAAAAGAATGTTCAGGTCAGCAACTTCTTTTCCTTCATCCTTGATTCATTGCTCAATGCCGTTAATGGGAAAAGTTAATCAAACGTGCTGTCACCTGGCCGTTTTAATGTCTTTATAGATATTCTACTATGCACCGAAATCACCGGATAGCTGGAAAGGACAGAAGCTGCTCTCGAGGGCTGAACTTCACATTGGGGCTCATGTGACCAAGTTCATGCGGTTGCAAATGCTTTCCACGGCATCTGATCAAGGCGGCGGTTCTGCTCCGGTGGTGGAGAAAACCAATCGCTTTGCCTTGCTGTTTGCCACGCTGGATGGAAGCATTGGTTGTATCGCACCTCTTGATGAGCGTACTTTCCGGCGGCTTCAGTCACTACAGGAAAAGCTGGTTGATGCCGTTCCCCATGTTGCTGGCTTAAACCCTAGATCCTTTCGGCAGTTCCATGCTGATGGGAAGGCCCACAGACCTGGCCCTGAAAGCATACTGGATTGCGAACTGCTCTCGCAGTAAGTTTTGTCCTTCCATTCATTCTCTGCAGCCCCACTGTTACTAAAATATCTCATATCCGGTCAATTCTACTTTTGCTGGAAAAAAACAACACACTCACTTCACTTCTACTAAACCTTGTTAAAAAGCTCACTCAGTTTTGACTTTTGAGGAAAACTGAAAACAAAGTCACCCGATTCCTCTGCTTAATTCACAAAGGAATATCTGTAATAGCACAACTACTCTTAGCTAACGACACCGGTTTCTGCATTGCAGTTACGAGATGCTCCCACTAGAGCAACAGCTTGACATCGCTCACCAAGTTAGAACAACCCGTGAGCAAGTACTGACAAACTTGAATGACCTCTCATTGGGAACAAGCTTCTTGTGAAACAACTGAAAAGGGGGGATCGTCTTCGCCAATGGCCTTTGCGAGTTGCTTCTGGGCTTCTGCGTAGGTGCTCGTTGTTTCCAGGTACTATCGGTCATAGGAGATTGAAGGACCTGCAATTGTTTGCACGTTCGAGCTTCAGAAGACCCTCTACCAACGCAAAAAGCAGAGCAGTTTCGGCCTTCGGATATCTGAAATCTGAAGGCTCAGCTGACTCATGTCTGCGGCTATACATTGCCCCTGACGAACATCTCCAGCACAAGGCTAGGGTGGTTTGGTTAGTTATTTAGAACGTGGGACTTTGTAACCTTAAATTGTACAGCCATCAAAGTCCAAGAATGCCTGGTATGGGGAGGAGAGGCCTTTCGGTTGTACAATGTACACTATTGTTGTCAAGTCGACTGGTTGAGTCTTTATGTTGTATCATTGGATATAAGTGCGTTTAATGCATCAGGTTTTACTAGGCAAAGGCAGTGAATTTTTTGTGGAAAAAAACCATCCCGAACATTTGGGCAAATCTCAAATCGACAAAGCATGATAGAGATCATTTGCATTATTAATTGGCAAGTTCCTGGAAGTCTAAATTACTATTGCATACGAAAAAATAGTTTTTTTACTGTTCATAAGAGGGTTGGTTATCATGGGGGTATAACTATTGTAGGATCCTATTTCTACACATGTGAAGTACCAGGCGGCTGCACAAGCATCCCACATTAATTTATGCAAGGTCGTTCTTTTATTGAACTAATAAATGAATGTGAAGATGGATAATTAATCAAAATATCACATATAAGGTCATTCTTTTATTGAACTAATAAATGAATGTGAAGATGGATAATTAATCAAAATATCACATACATATATATATAGACCTCGTAACAAAATGGTCATTCTTTTATTGAACTAATAAATCAATGTGAAGGGGATAATTAATCACCTTCTACGGTACCCCAGGTGAAATCCGGGGTACCGCATACCTTGAGTATGAAAACGCTATCTAGACCTCGAATTAGCAGGATTTTTGGGCATGATACTATACCCTAACCCTTAATGAGTGAACACTGGATCCTAATTATCTTAATCATTACCTATAAACCCTAAGATGCTGCATTACTTTTTTTTGCCTATATTTGGACGAATCATAACCGTCGATTATTGTTTCTAATTAAATTGATCTTGGGGTATAAGATTTAGAGAATTAAGACCTAGATTTTGATCTTTATGGGTTAGAGTATAGTATAATGTCCGAAAGATCAGTCAATTCAAGTTCTAGATAGCGTTTTCTTACTTAAGGTATGCGGTACCCCGGATTTCACCCGGGGTACCGTAGAACTCCCCACATATATATATATATATATATATATATATATGGTGGCTACTTCAGTGCACTCACTTTTTTGGGTGCACTCAGTGCACCCAACTCTAAAAGCGTCCATAATACATCAAATTTTGAACTTTAATTAGTACTCTCAATATAATATGATGATATGACATAGAATCATAACAAATCAATCCATTACCCTAACCCCTTAACCGTCAATTTTGAATCCCAACCCAAAATCCCAAATTGTAAACCTAAACCCTAACCCTAAATCCCTAAATCCTAAATCCTTCGAATTAAAGTAAATTTTGAATGAATTTTTTTCAAATTCATGTGCTTCTTGTTCATAATATCATAAGCAACAATTGATACCGTTTTGACATGAATCGCATGCTCAGAATGACAATTATGAGGCGGGTGCACTGAGTGCACCCAAAAAAGTGGGTGCACTGAATACGCCACCATATATATATATATATATATATATATATATATATATATATATATATATATATAGGGAGTTCTACGGTACCCAGGGTGAAATCCGGGGTACCGCATACCTTGAGTAAGAAAACACTATCCATAATTTGAATTGACTGATCTTTCGGACATGATACTATGCTCTAACCCTAAAAGATCAACATCTAGGTCTTAATTCTTTAAATCTTATACCCCAAGATCAATTTAATTATAAACAATAATCGACGGTTATGATTCGTCCAAATATAGCCAAAAAATCAATGCACCATCTTAGGGTTTATAGTTTATGATTTAGATAATTAGGACCTAGGGTTCACTCATTAACGGTTAGGGTATAGTATCATGCCCAAAAAACCTGCTAATTCGAGGTCTAGATAGCGTTTTCATACTCAAGGTATGTGGTACCCCGGATTTCACCCGGGGTACCGTAGAAGGCACCATATATATATATATATATATATATATATATATATATATATATAACTAACCTCGTAACAAAATGGTCATAAACGTTTATATAATGTAATAAAAAGTTCACATATGTATCACAATAAAAAAATAACCATTTTGTGTCTTTCCATCCAAAATGCTTAAATTACTTACTATGCTAAGTGGTGGGTTTAAAGGTTAGTTATAATGCTCAAATTACTTGCTATAGATATATAGGATAGGTTTAAGGGTTGGTTATTAGTATTTGAAGTGAATCAGCAAAGTAACCAGACATTTTGGACAAAAATATGTGCGGAAATTAAACAAAATAGTCATTGTTTGAGCCCAATCGACTGGGGGTCGCTCGGGTCCAAGGGGTTTGGGGTGTCAGCCATGACCTTGAGGGGGTAGGCGCCCCGCCTCGTCCGAAGTAGAAAAAGAGAAGAAGTATATAGAGAGAGAAAGTAGAGAGAAGTTAGAGTAAGAGTAGATAGATTGCCATTTATGAGGAGAGAACTCCTATTTATACACTTTTGAGGGTTAGGTAGTGGTCTGGGCGCCTGCCAAGCCATAAATGCTCTGGTCGGGCGCCTCAGACTCTCTGACACTGTTCATAGTCCTTTTGGCAGAGGGTGTCCCCCTGCCCCTTGTCCTTGCTGATGTCAGGTGCCTGGGCTTGTCTCTTGTCCCCCAGCCTTGTCTTTTTCCTCTTGTCTTCTTCCCTTCTCCATGTCATTAGCCATGGTATTAATTCCTTAGTCACTATGATACCCTATCAATTGCCCCTTTTGGCGATGCCGTGAGTATACGGTATCGTCAAACAAATATGCTCTATGTTGGTAAACTACACAAACTATGAAGAAACGGAAAAAGAAAGAGAGAGAAAAAATAAAAAATAAAAAATAAAATACATAGGCGCCCGGCGCCTTCGGCTAATCGGGGGCGCCACCCCCTTCGCTTTTTTTCCAATCGGGAGCGCCTCCTCCCCTTCTTTTCGCTAGGCACTTTTCGGTTTTTCTGAATCGTTTTTCTTTTGCAGGCGCCTCGCTTCATCTCTTTCGTTTGGGTAGGCGCCCGGCGCCTTCAGCTTATCGGGGGCGCCACCCACTTCGCTCTTTTCCAATCGGGAGCGCCTCCTCCGCTTTGACTACTGCCGTGTGCCTCCTTTCGCGGCCTAGGTACGCTCTCTCCTCTCTTACCCATTGTTCGCTACATTACTAACCGCCTTTTCCAGGCGCCTTCCCTTTCCGCTTCTTCGATTTTCCTTCTTCGACGGCAGGCGCCTCCCCTTACCGCTCTTCGATTTAGAGGCGCCGCGCAGCTTTCTCCTCTTTTTCCCATAGTTCGCTTCGTTACTAATCTTCTGATCTGTTGAGCGCTTGTGCACCCGCGTGGTTGTGCTTGCTTCCAAATAAGATGTAGTAAAATGAGAAAGAATAAACACATGTCTCAAGTAACGAAGACTAGCTGAAGAAGCAATCATGCCCCTTTTATCAAGCGCCTGACGCTTGCATTCTTCCGTTCTTCATCAATTATTTCCCAAGTGACCACTTTTTCATCTTAGAGGATGCGCCTACACTCGTGTTAGAGGATTCAATCTATCTTGACAATCATATGAAATTGAAACAAACTTGTCAGTTTTCCTTTGAACACCCTGTGCCTTGCCCATTTGAAACGAGCGCCTAACACTCTTTTCCCATTTTCTTCTTTTTGCCAAAAGATACCAATGATATTCAAATACTTTCCATTCATTGTCTGAGATGCTACATTTTTCTTTCGATTACTTGTGCTCTTGTAGAAGAGTGCTTGCTTCGATTCTTTGGCTAATCACTTGTCACCCAGCTTGTCGTTAGTTGCACTATGACCCAAACTCAACGAGATGTCTGGCGACTCGCTCCTTTGCCGAGGTGTATGACCTTCAGTTGGGCGCCTGGCACCTCACTGAAGAGTGAGGTGCCTGACCTTCAGTGGGGCGCCTGGCGCCTCACTCCTTCGCTTATGTCTTTGATAAGCATTTGTCATCCAGCTTGTCGTTTGTTACCTTAAGACACAAAGTCAACGAGGTGACTGGCGACTCGCTCATTTGCCAAGGTCTCTGACCTTCAGTTGGGCGCCTGGCACCTCACTCCTTCAGCGAGGTGCCTGACCTTCAGTGTCACTACTCTTCTTGTAGACCTTCTCCAAGTATTTTCCGAGGTGCCTGACCTTCAGTTGGGCGCCTGACACCACACTACTTCGACGAGGTGCCTGACCTTCAGTGGGGCACCTGGTGACTCGCTCCTTTGTCGAGGTGCCTGACCTTTGATACGGCGGCTGACACCTCACTCCTTTGGTGAGGTGCCTAGCGACTCGCTCCTTTGCCTAGGTGTTGACATTTAGTTGGGCGCCTGTCACCTCACTCCTTCAGCGGGGCGCCTGGCACCGCACTCCTTCAACGAGATGTCTAACCTTCAGTGGAGCGCCTGGCACCTCACTCCTTCGGCGAGGTGCCTAACCTTCAGTGAGGCACATGGAGACTTGCTCCTTTGTCGAGGTGTCTGACATTTAGTTGGGCGCCTGACACCTTACTCCTTCAGCAAGGTGTCTAACCTTCAGTTGAGTGCCTGGAGACTCACTCCTTTGCCGATGCTACCCCCTTGTTTCAGGTAGCTTATTTCGTGCCTAATTTTTTGCAAGCGCTACCCTCCCTTCCTAGGCGCCACCCTTTACAATTTTTGAATTAGGGATTGCGATGCCGTGTGTCCTCTTCTTCAATCGGGGGAGACGCCTCTGCGCCCTTGTCTCTAAAATTATTGATCCTTTTCAGGCAACGCTCCTTCCATCCGCTAGGCGCCTTCGGATCTCGCGTAGGTGAGTTCCGCTTTGTTTTTCCTAGGAGCCACCCTTTACAATTTTTGAACTAGGGGTGGCGCCGTCGTTCGCCATGTGTCCTCCTCTTCAATCGGGGGAGGCGCTTCCGCGCCCTTGTCTATAAATTGTTGGCCCTTTTCAGGCAACGCTCCTTCCATCCGCTGGGCGCTTTCGGATCTCGCGTAGGTGAGTTCCGCTGTTTTTCCTAGGCGCCACCCTTTACAATCGGGGGAGGCGCCTTCGCGCCCTTGTCTCTAAAATTATTTGTCCTTTTCAGGCAACGCTCCTTCCATCCGCTAGGCGCCTTCAGATCTCGCATAGGTGAGTTCCGCTTTGTTTTTCCTAGGCGCCCCCCTTTACAATTTTTGAACTACGGGTGGCGCCGTCGTTCGCCATGTGTCCTCCTCTTCAATCATGGGAGGC